CATTACTGCTTCGTCAAAAGTACAAGCGAAACGGAGAATTTCTATCAAATCTTCACATTCAATTTTCTCGAAAACTAAACTTCCTGCGACAAAATTCTACGCGATATTTTCGGGTAATTTTCTATCGCAAAATCACCCCTTTCACGGTCGTTACGCCAGTTAAGCAACACCTTGTATAATAAATACGAGCGTGTATCACTAGCGAACGGGACACCGCGTGTTATTCCCGAGTTCATCGTTACGGTAATGGAAATACCTGTGCTCCCCTTCGCGCCGCCTTTCAGAGCTGATCCCGTTAGATTCACTGTCAATTTATTCCATTTAATTCGTCGATCTCCTCTAAATCGATTAGGAGCGAGCCGCGTGAAAAACTGGTCACGCTTTTTCCCCAAGCGAGACGACGAAAATCGAGGATGAAAGAAAAACCTCGGTGACTGGTCGTCGATCGATCGATCGAGCGAACAAATCATTTATCGTCGCCTAGCAAAAAAAGCTTCCACCTCGCGCTTGTCGTGCGTCGCGATTCGTAACCGCATCAACAGAACCATGATGTATAACGGGTCTCTCTGTTCACGCTGAAAAGTTCATCAGAATCTGGCGAGAAGGTGTTCGGGTGGATGAGGAAGTGAGATTACTCCTTGACATCAACCTTAATTTCTGTTATATCAAACTTGAAGATAAATGTCAAAAGTTTCGGACCATCTGTCAATTTACAGCAATATTCAATCTGCTGCTAATTCTTTGTAGAGATCAACGAACCCCTTTACTTCGTTGCGATTAATTTGAGGAGATAAAAGGTTTTTTAAGTTATTAACTTTTCACTAGAAACTTTCGTGTAGGTTGCAAAATCAGGGCCGGTTCTAGGCTGTTGGACGCCTGGGTGCTAGAAATATTTAGCCACGCCCCCTACCCCCGCCCCATCGTTGCAGATAAACAAACCAAACCTATGGGAGTGTAACGTTACGTTTTTAATACAGTTTCGTATATTTGACAGGCGTGAAAAAAATCCATAAAAATATTTGATATATTTACTTCACCTTTATCCTTCAGAGTGCGGTATAGGTCGCCCAACGAATTTGGTCTCCTGCGTGTCACACCTACTGTGCGGAGCTCATGAGTTTACCCCCGGGGCTGCGCAGGAGCAAAAGGGGCACACTTGGCCCGCGCCGCCTAAATCTCACGTCGCGCAATTTCAAACGATCCAATTCGTCGATGACATCACGTCGGTCAATAATGACAACACATATGCCCTATTTTTACGATTGTATCAGAGAAAGTGGGCTTGTGGGAATATGACCCAATCATACTCGCGCTCCTTCTAGGGGCAAACTCCTAGAACCGCCCCTGTCTGCAGTGCACAGTGGTCCCGAATATTTGACAGGTAGTGCAGATAAAAATGAAAGTAGTGAAAGTGGTGAGAAAGGGGGATTGACAGAAAACAGAGAGTGCTTTTTAGCAAGATCCTTGGAAGTGGAAATACAAAAAGAAAAACGGAAACTGAAAATCTACACAACTCGGGAAAGGGAAAGTTCGTGCAAATAAGAACAGGAAAAAGTGCTCCGAGATAAGGGCGTGTTGTCAGTGGGGCGCAACCGCGACAGGGTGAGAAAAAGGAGGAAAAAAGAAAAAGTCGACCGTTTTGCCGTGAATTTCCTCGTTCGCTGTACACACACACACCTCCGTCGTTCCCCGCTGAACGAATACAAAAGGGACTCGAGATTGTAATCACGCGCGACAAG